ATCAGCATCAATGAAAAAACAGATCTAAATGAGATCACCCTGTGTTAAATGTCAGTGAGTATAGATGAGTTTTTAGGAGAGTTTTAAAAATAGAGACTGAGGTGGCCTGTCGAATGTTGATGGGCAGATTGTTCCAGAGTTTAGGGCCCACGACTGAAAACGCTCGATCTCCTCTGAGCTTCAGCTGGTTTTTTGTACGGCTAAAAGCAGCTGGTCTGATGATCTCAAGGCCCGAGAAGGAGTATAAGGATGAAGAAGGTCGGAGAGGTATGAGGGTGCGAGGCCGTTAATGCACTTGAATGTCAGCAGGAGAATTTTAAAATCAACTCTGACACATACAGGAAGCCAGTGAAGAGAGGACAGAACCGGAGTAATGTGCTCAAACCTGTGAGTTCCTGTTAGTAGCCGAGCTGCAGCATTTTGTACGAGCTGAAGACGTGAAAGTGAAGCCTGACTGCCTTAACTGAAAGAAGCTTTTTTGTAGAACAGAGTTGATCTGTTTATTAAACTTAAAGTCCGAGTCTAACACTACACCAAGATTGGTAACCGACTGCTTTAGATGAGGCTGAAGGGAGTGCAGGTTTACAGGATCAGTGATAGAGCTTGGGTTAAACACAATGACCTCAGTCTTCTGATCATTAAAACTCAGGAAGTTTGCAGCCATCCGAGTCTTGATGTCATCAAGACATTTTAGCAAAGGGTAGATGGAGCAGGAACTGTTTGGTTTTAAAGGCAGATAAATCTGAGAATCATCGGCTTAACAGTGAAACGAAATACCATGTTTCCTCAGGATTGACCCCAAGGGGAGCAGATACAATGAGAACAGAAGGGGTCCAAGAATGGAGCCTTGTGGGACCCCACAGGAAAGAGGGACAGAAGCAGAAAAATGATTGTCAAAGTTAACACAGAAACTCCTGTCACCCAGATACGAACGGAACCATTCTAGCGCCACCCCTGTAATCCCAACCCAGTGTTCTAGCCGTGACATAAGGATGCTGTGATCAACAATGTCAAATGCAGCGGTAAGGTCGAGGAGTACCAGGACCACAGACTGACCAGAGTCATTTGCTAGCAGAATGTCATTACAGACCCTTACTAAAGCTGTCTCGGTGCTGTGCAGTTGTTTAAATCCTGACTGAAAAATAGTCCATTTACCATTTTAATTTGATGCAAAGAAAAAATAAATACTACGGTGGCCCTGAGGTATAAATGAACAACATTTGAAAAAAAGGTCATTACATT